TACCAGCAGGCCCAGCATGGCGTTTTGACTCGCAATCTGAAGGTTGTGGTTTCGACTCCCCATACCACCAAGTATGCTGGCCCGGCATGATCAGGTGGTTAGGGCACTAGACTCGCAATCTGCAGGCCGCGGGTTCGAATCCCCATCACACCAAACATGCTCGTCCTTTCAGCCGTGGGGGCGTTATAAGTGACGATCAATCCCACTATTCGTTGGTAAAAGAGTAGCCTAAGCGTTGGCGGTGAGTAGTGATGATTAGCTGTATTCCCTCTAGTCTTTCACTGCTGAATTAGGGACGATAGCGCAGATAGCCCTCGTGTAGCTTTGCACGAAATTCAAAACAAACTACCAACAAGTGCTGCTATCTATTGACCAGTTTTGCAGTTGCAAAATCCACTTGAGTGGACGCCATACAATAGTGACGAATTTACCCCTAACATATATTTTAATCTTTAATTAATGCAGTATTATTTTTGGATTTTTCTTTATATAATACCTGATTCCAAAAATAGGGAAAAATGCGACCTCAGTTGTCACCCCAACCTTGTGATCTGAATACGCCAATGTTATTTGATCATACATGATCTATTCAATTTGATCTAAAACATGATATTTATTAATCTCAACTGGAAAATATGAGATTTTTAATCTTATCAGAGTACTTTGTTTATTCGTAATATAAATAAATAGACACGGCTGTTTTTATATTTTGTTTGTCTGTCCACCGCAATGAATCGAACTCCATATTTTAGCGTTGTATGTCCATAAATTTACTGCTGACACACTGGGAAAACGCTACTTTTATGAAGACAAACTCCATCACAATGAAGAAACCCGTTTCTGGTAAGAATATAATATGTTTGATTGTTGACGGAGAAGTACACATTCGTAAAATTGAAAATGCTTTAATATATCAACTTTATAACAAATTTGTTATCGAAAGTTTTTGCTAGTTTTCTTATATTATACCTTTTTACATATTGAGAAGTATAATGCAAAATAATAATAATAATAATCAGACGTTGAATTGGTAAATTTAACCATTGAAAATGCTTCAGTGCGGTTGGGAATGTTACATTTTAATAGTTATATAACCTTGTACATTGTGTACGTAATTTAAACTTCTCATACTAGTAAAAGAAGGAAACATATATGTATTTCGTGTAAAAAATATCTAGTTTACTGATGTACAGAGTACACAAAAGTTACTCACTCCAGTGTTTCAGTGGTAAGCCTGTAGGCTTACAACGCTAAACATCGGGTTACGATGCTATTCTTGAGAAAGCACAGTTAGCCCATCCAGTAGCTTTCTGCTTACCAACCAAGCACACTGAATTACAGAATATCTCACATCTACAAGAACACAAGTCTAAACAACTGTCAAATGTTTTATCTAAGTTATATAAAAAATCGGGATAATAAAGTAACGTCTTTTTCAAAGCATGGTGGGTATGATTCAAAGGAAGCCGTGGTGTTATATTTCCAGAACCACTTTTTGCACATCTGCGTGATTACATTCTTACATATTGATAAATGGAAGGAAAGAGTAGACTTATTGTATATCTAGATCTGACTACAAAAGAATCATTTCTCTTTTTGTTATAGTCTAAGTAATGCATGTATTATATTAAGTTATTAAAAGGTTGTTCGTTTTGGATATTCGCGCAAATCTACACGAGGGTTATATGTGAAAAACATGAAAAAATTTCTCTGCTTAACATACATACAAAATTTTTTGTTTCAGAAATTTCGCTCAAAGCTACATAGAGGGATATTTAGGCATAGCTGTCCTTAATTTTGAACTGATATACTTGAGGTAAGACAGTAAACAGCAACTCTTAGGCTACTTTGTCCGACCGAATAAAGCGGTTTGACTGTCATTCTTATAACACATCCACTACCTCAAAACGCAGATCGTGTTTTTCCGGCAAGGAGACCCGAACAAGGAATCGTTGGATTCATAGTCTGGCACGATAACTACCGGGCCACACAGAACGATAAGCCGTTTATGTGAAAACTAATTTTTTGTGGTGACTTTCTTAGTGAGAACAAACCACAACGTAGCTAACTAAAATAAATAAATATAACATAAAGCCATACGGCGTGATTATTCAATGTATATATACAGCTGATGCCAGAAGAAAATGCATAATTCTAACTCGTAAAATTGAAAATAAATGTTATGGTACTTTCAACCCTAATTTATATTTTTCTTTTACAAATGTATATGTAATATAGTTTTATTACGCATACAATTTTTATAAAAGATAATAAATGCCTTTTATCCAATCTTACAGCTGTAGGTCATACGCTTTTCAGTCACAGTTAATTTTATGGTTGTTTTGCGTTTTTATCCTCCATTAAAAACTTGACAAATAAATAAAACTCAAGAACACACGTTCTTCCGATTTGGAGAAAAAAAAATATAGACAAGGCTACTAGCTGTTCGGGCAACAGAAAAATAGTTACCTAACCACTTTTGAACATAAACAGCCGGTGTTTTAATGTTTTTGAGCTTGATGAAGGTGGTCATGAGGCAAAGATTGGAAAAACCAGTTGATTCAAAGTGCAGTAGAGACCTTGAACCACCAAGATCATCTTATAATATTTATAACAATTTTGTTTTTATTACCACAATGTATTCACGAAAATGGTAATTAACATTTAATAATATATTTCATAACCTTGAAAAAAAGATAAATAGGAGAAAATGAATAAATCAAACGGCAGTAAAAAAATGTAACCAGTCTTCGAACCAAGGTGATCCAGTACGCTTCGCTTTGATAAAAGGAAGTTGACCATACAATAAGGGTTTAAAGTATTCATAACAAAGCTTTATTATTTTAAACGATCTGTGTTTTAAGTAAGAATAAAATGAAAATAAAGTATAAATAAATAGACACCTTGACTATATAAATGAATGAGCTTGCGTATTTGCTGCAAAATTTACATGATGCAAACACATTCATATCTCAAAACACCCCTCAATACGTGTGTTTACAAATAAAAACTTATTTTATGATTGTTATAGTAGACACTCTAAAGGAAAACAAAAGTGAAAAAAGTAGAACTGCTCAATATCTCAGTGACGTGTTGTTACGTGAGCTTCCATGTAAAGCTCAATACCTCAGAGAAGAAGTGTTTTCACGTGAGATTCCATGTAAAGCTCAATACCTCAGAGAAGAAGTGTTTTCACGTGAGATTCCATGTAAAGCTCAATACCTCAGCGAAGAAGTGTTGTCACGTGAGACTACCTGTAAAACTCAATACCTCAGAGAAGAAGTGTTGTCACGTGAGATTCCATGTAAAGCTCGACATCTCAAAGAATTGTTTTCACGTGGTACTACCTGTTTTTATTAGATGAAAGCTGGAATATTATTCGTGATGACAAAAATAGTTAATAACGGTTATCCTTTTTGATAAACCCACTTTTTTGGACCTCGGATGTGTCCAATACGATTTTATTTACACATGTTGTTATAGGTTTTATATTAACATACTGTCGTTGTTGCTTTTGTATGGTTGAATAAAATAAGTACTAGTAATCCAGTAACCATTCGTTAACTATACTCAGTGAAAGTTAAAACATAAAGAAAACTGTTTTTAAAGTACAGTTCATGCAAACTGTTTTGTCTCGGAATGTTCGCAGAAAGCCACAACTCTCATCTAACCGAAACGAGTCCATTTCTCTCTTACAGCACATCCACGGCTCCACAGTGCAAAGAGCATGTTTGAGGTAAAGGGCCACGAACCTTCAGATTCACAATTTGGCAAAGCGTTAGTGAGATATTTGTCCAACCAGATTAGGTTCTAACAAGCATCGATGAAATAAAAATCTGTTTTGATTCAGAATTTATAAACTTATTCATGCGTAATAGGATTTGATTAAAGTGAGATATTCTGTATAATATTGCTTGTTTTGAAGAAGCTCTTTTGTTATATCGAATATTTTGACTTTGTTTTTTAAGGTATTTAAGTTACGTTTTTCGTTATCGTCATCCTTTGCCGTGGGTACTACGTTCTACATTGGAAAGATTGAATATTAATTGATTATTGAACCGATTAGAAACAAAATCGTTTACGATGTTAGTAAAAAGTACTGTATATATATATAATGGTTCAAAGTTCTAAATGAAACTGTTTCACAGATACTAAATATATATTGCCTGTAACATTGTTTCATTATACTTTAGATAAAATATAATGAGGTTCGATCCTCGCGGCAGACACAGCTCAAGTAGCTATTTGTGTAAAACAAACAATAGATAAAAACGTTAATAACGAAAACGAGATAAGTCGTCAAAGACGAAAGAAACTGCCTTATTGAGCATCACATTTGAATTTAAGAAAATAGAGCGAATGGTAGTCACTTCGAACATGTCACTGACTCACCGATTGTTCGATTTCATTTGATAACTTTAAAGTTGATTTCCAAGAATATTGGACACATCTACAGTACTTTTAGTAAGCTGGTGTGTTTGCATTATTTTTCAATAAAATTATTCAAATCGATATGTTTTCACACATCTCTGATTAACTCTGCCTTTAGGATAATTGTCCTATCAACTTGCAAAGCATGATGAAAAGCAATGACTATACATTAAGAACAAATTCCTATCACAAAGTGTCCTATATTTATTTATTTATTTGCATTTATAAGTTTAAAGCCCATTCCTTACGTTTCAAAATATTACATAATATGGTTTCGATAACGAAACGGATCGTATCGAACACATTATTGTGCTTTATTTTCAGTAACTTCCTTTTTACGTTGGGCTTAAATTTGTTTTCTGTGGGTACTTGATTCGGTTTAGCCTATTTATTAAATAACTGTGTTTAAAAACATTTTCAGTTACTCTAACTCAATACGTGTGTGTGATTTCATCTTGAAATTTTATTCGTAAAGTGAATAAGTAAATCCGATTTTATTGAAATATTTTATTTTACAAAACATTTACATTTGACATAAATTTATAAGGCACTAGAGGACGCGGCAATGGTGAGAATATCACCAAAATACGATTCTCAGTAATGGTGAGCAATACGATTCTCAGCACGCTAATTAGAAAAGTAATATTAAAATAACACAGATAAAATATTCATTTGTTCGTAACAGAAAATATCTTACACTTAAACGAATAAAATATTTTAGCTTTAATAAGATAAAAGCTACTGAAAAACCCAAATAAAAGCTAAAGAATATATATTTTTCTTTATGAAACAGTACGTTTGTTATTTCAAGTCAAATTTAATTCAAGTACCGAACCTTTCACTATACACAGCGTAAACTGCATAATGAAGAGAATTTGTTTAACAAAGATCTCAACAAAACGTTTACAACATTAATGTCCTATTTTAACAAGTACAAGGTGGTTTCACTATATATATATTTCACAGTAGTTATGCAGATCACTACGAAACAAATCAAACTTATAACACCATATATATTATTCAGTAGGAGGGCAAGTGAAGGCTCCATTTCGTGTCAACAAATAAATTCGAGTCAGTAGATATGAAAGTAATATTTCTGAACAAGCATCTATAAAATCTGTTTGCTGTGTTCGGTACGAAAATCGTCTGAACATTTAGAACACTGATGTTTTTATTCATTGCATAATTTAACAACAATATGGTGTAGTTCGGATGTAATATTAATAATACCATAACATCTAGAAATCACAACAAGCAGTGTTAGGTATGCCTGTTTTCATCTCTAATTTCATTTATGTAAAAACGCCCATGACTTATGTATTAATCAAAAGCAAAAAGAGAAATACTGGCAAAATAAAACTATATTTAATTCACAATAAGTAGTATTGTCAGAAACAATAAAACTTTAAAAGTGTTAAATGCCAAAGGTAGTATAATTAAATAACGTAGCTGCAGTATTGTCAGTGACAAGTTTGTTTGTTTGTTTTTAATTATGCACAAAGCTACACAAGGTCTATCTGTGCTCTGCCCACCACGGGTATCGAAACCCGGTTTCTAGCGTTGTAAGTCCGCAGACATACCGCTGTGCCACTGGGGGGGGGGCAGAGTGACAAGAAGACTATTATGGTGTTAAATGTCAAAGGTAGCGTGTTATGACCTTTTTTTTTCCCTTCCCATGGCAACAGTTGTAATTAAAAGGCTGATAAAAAGTTTAAGCACATCACTCCTTACTAGTGGATTATCCATAAGATGATGTGTATAATATTATTTCAGCCACACTGTCTATCGTGGACCTCTCTACTATATTCAATATAATACTATCTTTGTGCTGTTTGTAAACATAATTATATTTTTCTGTAATGATCTTCAAAAAAGTACTTACTTCACTTAACAAAGACAAAAATTAGTAGGCCTTGTTGTAGTCATTGTACCAATGTTTTACTGTTACTATCATGGAAAGTTTGTAATGTGCAATATACAACTCTGGGTGTAAGCTACATAACTACGTTCTTGGAGGGGGATACATGAACTTCTCCGCTTCTTGTACATAATCTGGTAATAACTCCTCCTTTTTATGATCTACTAACATCAATTAAACTGCTGACTGTGGATCATACCCAACCAGATCGGGTTTAATGCATAGCTAAGCTTCCTAGACATTATAAGGACTGACTGGAACAAACATCAACAAATGAGATCCTGTATTTGATACCTTCAGTGATAATTGAAAATCACATCAGATTGGGGCGTTGCCATTATGTTTGATGAACTCTAGGTTTAACAGGTGCCAACGACAGGATCTCATCTATTTGTCAAATATCTAACTGTCTATTCGTCTCTTCTACATCCGACATAATACTGTTTATCAACGCTGATGTAGTTAATTGGATTTCCTGCTTGTATAGCGAGACGAAGCCAAACATTCGCTCCACCCGAAAACGATGAACAAAGTCTAAGATTGCTATCTTATTGTGAGAAGTCACTCGATGACATTCAGCCACGAGAATGTACATAAAAAGCTCGATGTCACGTGGAACATTTCGACGATAGAAGGTGATGCTACTCAGTCCAAAATCATCAGCCAAATTCATATAGATCATCCTTGCACCTGTCCAGTCCTTCCACGAATCTTCCAAGACTTCAGAAAATGTGTCATCCAGACTTCGGAACCCAACGAGAATGAAACAAGGATGATAACTGGTAGAATCATCTTTTGGCTGCTGTATGTCCAGTTGCAAATGCCTTTCTTCTGTATAACACCCTACAGATAAAGTTACTCGAGAATATAAGTAAACTACATTAAAAAACCTGAGATAGAACCAAAACTACGTAATCAATTTACTGTTTGCAGGCGTTTATATAACAGTTCTAGTTTATTTTTTGGTAACTCCCCCTACCAAAAAAAATATCATTGCTTCAATGTAATTTCATAAATATTTACAATAAGAAAATTAAAATCACGGTAAAAAATCATATACACTAACTTTATTGTAAATTTATGTTTCAAATGAAGGATTTGGTATAAAATTGGGCGTAGTAGTGGTAAACATTAGAGGCGATAAAATACATGCGTTTTCATGTCACATATCTAATAATCAGATTTTGGGTTATTAATAAATTGAGATTTGTGCATTTTGTGATAATAGTTTTTTGTCTTTGTTTCTGAATGTCACGCAAAGCCACACAAGGGCTAAATGCCTATAGCTGTCCTTAATTTTGAACTGATAGAATAGAGGGAATGAAGCTAGTTAACAGAACTCACCACGCTAACTATTGGGCTACTCTTGTCTGATTGAATAACTGGATTTATACTCTTACAGTGCATCCACAGCTACGGTCCAGCATGGCCAGATGGTTAAGGTGCTCGACTCGCACCCTGCGGGTTAAAATCCACATTCCACCAAACATGCTCGTTCTT